CATATTTTCCCCCAGATTCTGAGATGCAGCCATAGGGCAGGTTCAGCCCAGCAGGAAGAGTAGATGAGGAGGACTAGCTACTGGAGATTTCCTCTGAGATGATTTAAGTAGTTTTTTTTTTTTTTGCTTTTGGATACATTCTAATTGGATAGTAGCAACTATTACTATGACTTCTTAATTTTTAGTGTGTGCTAGCTGCTATCTTGTGAGTGCTTGTTCTAGTATGCTCCTGCTCTGATTAATTAAACTGCCTACACCCTCACTACGTATTCACAGTGTGACCTTGAGCGTGAGATTCAGCCCTTGCAGTTTCCACAGCCTCCTTTCTACAAATCCTTGTTGTAAGGGGTAGTGGGAAGAATTGCCAAGTGACTAGTGGGATTCATAACAGGGCTGTTGATAATGTCACTATTAGTATTCATTACTTAGTCATTGCCTTGGCAGTTTACCTCAGTTGGCCTGTCTCTTTAATTGAGATCACATCAGTAGTAAAAGGAATCCTATCTCTCCTTGACCTTGGATGTAGCTAGCATTCCTGATTAAAGGTGTTGATGTCAGAGGGGGCCATTGGATGTCATCCTGGCTGCTGGCTCCAATTCCTTTGTCCCAACTTTCCTACCCCACTCCTCCCCACCAAACAAAAAGGAAAGCAAAAGAGCTGTCAGAGAAACTGTCTACAAAGGTCATTTAGAAATACAGTGCCACACGCAAGATCACAAAGCAGGGATTATTTAAATTCTGGCTTGGCCAGTGTTAGTGTTGTGGTGTTATTTTAGCAATTCCAGCAGGTCCAGGAGTGTAAATAGTTGTAATTAAAGGCTTCCAGTAACAGCCCTGTCAAGTCCTTGTGTGTATCACATTTGGCACATGTTTCAAAGCCGAGAGCGATATTAAATAGACCATCTGTTGGTTTTCATTAGGTTTCCTCTCGTCAACAGCACTATTAAATATAACCGAACCCATTTTTAAAAAATCCCTGACATCTGTGCTTTCAATTGAAACACTGATCAATATTAATAACAATGCCACTTCACCTGAATTTATTATTAATGAAAAGTTGACTACAACAGAAATGTGAATGTTTGTCCTACAACTACTTATTCAAACAAAGCCAGGGGAGGCACCCTGTCCCATGAGCAGAAAGGATGAAAGTGTTGGGATCTGGATGTTCACTAGACCCCTTGGGTATCCTGAAACCTGCGGCCAAGCCACTGGACATGCAAATTTCTCCCCAGCAAGCCCCTCCCTGCAAAAATGGCCCAGCCAACTCTTGCCATCCCCCAAGGTCAAGGTGGGCATGACCTGCTCTTGGGCATCATCCTCATCTTCACAGCATTGATTTGCCCTTTTCTTTCTCCTCTTTCAGTCTTTCTACACTATCTATCTCTTTTGATCTAATTTCACTTTCTTTCATGGTTTTCTTCCTGAGAGGAGTGAAACAATGGTGCATAGCTCAACATTAAGCACTTTTTATAGAGGGTTGGTTAATATTAAACAGATGAAGGAATGAATGGAATGGCAATCTACCAGAAGGAGCGAAAATTTAGCTGAGTTGATTAACTGGTGGATACTCATGTCTTTTTCCAGTGCACAAACAGATAGCATGACAAAGTTAAAAAGATTGGTGGGAGGAGTCCTGATGTTAAGTCCTGACTGAGGAGTCTGTATGTTTTCCTTGCCTCTGTTCTTCTTCTCTTTCCTATAAACCTGATCCCTAATGTAGTCTGGGCTATTGTTAGTTTTCTCCCTCTTGGGGATCAAAGATGTTTTGGTTCAGTAAGGAGAAAAGGGGGACTTGCACATTTGTATTTTCTCAGTTCTCCTTGCTTTCTCCAAACTCACCAAGCTGGGAATGTCTACTGTGTAAACACTGTCTGTAATTTATGCAAAGACTCTGCATGGGGGAAAATAGGAAAAACACTGTAGGTACTTAAAATGAGATATGAAAAATGTTTAGAGGAGTGGCAATTAATAAATGCACAATAAAATGGCAATTTCTATAGTATCATTGGCTCTGTTACTTTTCTTGTTGCTGAGGCAAAATACCTAACAGCCAAAGTTAAAGAAGGAAAGATTTACTTAGCACAGTTTGTGGACATGTCAGTCTGTACTAAGCTGGCTCCAAAGTCGGGTGGCTTCACAGAGGAGGAACTGCTATTCATGACAAGCAGAAAACAGTAAAAGCAAAAATTCATACAAGAATCTTTCTGTCCCTTATGTTGTATCCAGGCTACCAGGATTAGAGAGGTGCCAATACAATATGTTGTCTCATCCAACAATCACCTACCCTTAATCCCAGCACTTAAAAAAAACCTTTATTTATTTACTTGGTACAGGATCTCACTATGCAGCTCAGACTAGTAGCGATCCTCCTGGGTCAGTCTCCCTAGCACTGGGATTACAGGCATGTGCCACTATGCCCCGTTTTGGTGGCTGGCATGCTATGCCTGCGGTTCTGGGGCTTACATGGCATGTGGTACCTTGGATTGAACCTGGGTCCTTGTGCTTGCCAGGCAGGTGCTTAGATTGCAGAGCTATCTCCCCAGCCCAATCCCAGTGTTTTAATTCCAGCTTTGCACTACAAATCAATTGCATACTGTAGATTCAGCTACTTCCAAAAAAACTCTGCGTGACACTTCGGTTGGACACCTAGACCCAAACCGTTACTATCATCATTACAGGCTTTGCCATTATAATACACAGAATTTGGTAAAGAAGCACCGTACAAGTGCAGTACAAAGCCTAAGGAATGTATGAAATCTATATGGATCATTTAAGCCTCAGACTATTGCAAGTCTATTTTGTATGGGGCATAGTGTAGGGTATTGGGTAGATCAGGACATGCGAGATTAAATGGTAATGGTTCAGTGGAGGCTAGGACAGTTTGTAGCTGGTTGTAAGGGAGAATTCTGTAAATTTTGTATATATCCTGATCTCCTACCACTCCTGCAGAAAATGATGGAAAGGACATACCTAAATTAAAGTTAAATAAAATTCAAAATTCATACAGCAGACCGTATTTTGTAAAGAAGATAGAAATAAGGATGGCAAGGGAAGGCAAACAGACAAAGTGGCTCCAGAGGGGCCTCTGGGCTGGCTAAAATGCAGGCCACCATGGCTCAGAGACGGAGAGGGCGGCTTTGTGTCAGGGCTACCCAGAGCGAGGTGCTCTCCACGGGAAGCAGAGCAGCTTCTCTGATTCTGTGACTAGTATTAATGCCCAACAAAAATTTCCAGCCGTCTACTATATTACTGTTAATTCTGGCCTCCTTTCTGTTTTGGGCTCATGCGTTCATTTTTCTATTTATTTTATTTCTTAAGTCAAACCTTTCAGCATTTTATGTGCTTAAGAGAAAGATTTAAAGAGTTACTCACCATGTCAGGAAGGCAACCAGCTATCCCTAATGTCAATACGAAATCCCCTGCTGACCCAGCATTGATCAAAGGTGCCATCTAAATTTTTGTGGGGAATTTGTGTAACTGAGTACACAATTACACATACCCTTACCATTTCATGAAAAAGAATATCTTATTTGCTATCTAATAAACTTCATTTTTCCTCCAAGAAAGTATTGATTTAAAGGGAACACTATTGACAAAACATAAAAGTCATTTTTATGGCATTTCTATGATGTTTGAAGCTATGTTGGTTCAGTTGTGTTCTTATGGTGCTAGAATTAACTTTAAGAAATACAGTTTCAATTTATAAAAACAAAATCATACCTTACTTTAACTTTATATTACTTATAGGGCCTGCCTCATAGCTCAACCAACCAAAACACCTGCTTAGGCAGAACGCAGCAACCGGGGTTCGATTCCCCGCCTGCTATGCCGGCCCCACCTGCCAAGTTTGCTGAGAGGGTGATTGAGTCTGGGCATGGTGGTGTACACCTGTAATCCCAGCACTTGGGAGGCTGAAAACAGGAGAATCACTACAAGTCCAATCTATGTAGTGAGACCCGGTAGACCCTGTCCTAAATTCAGAAAGAAAAAGGCAAAAAAAAAAAAAAAAGAAAAAAGAAAAAAACCAGAGAGAAAACTTTATATTAATTATTCAGATAATTGGGAAAATAAGATTTCTTGGAATCTACTCATGGATTTTTCCCTGGATGATTATTAAATCTCAACCTTCATCTGCATATGGGAAAGGATTTTCTGAGTTTGGCCCTAGTAGAGGGTCTGTTTGCTTGGTATTCTCAAAAAAACAAAACAAACAAACAAACAAAAAAACCAAACCAAACCCCCCCAAACCAAAACAAAGCAAACAAGCAAGCAAGCAAACAAACAAACAAACAAACAAACAAAAAAAACACCCCAGCTTTATAACTACTTTCATCATGCTCTTTTGAGTGAAAATCTCATAACCTTAAAGAACCTACAAGACTTTTTTTTTTTTTTTTTGTATTAGGGATTGAACTCAGGTACTTCACAATGAGCTATATCCAAGCCCTTTTCTAATTTGAATTTTTGTTTTATCATTTTGCTCTCTTAAATCAATGGTTTCTAAGCAGGTATTCATGAGCTTCGACAGGGGAATATTTTGTAATGCACACTTCAGGGTTCCAGATCCTCATTCTGATTCTATAAGCCTGGAGTGGGGATGAATGACATCTGTCACTCTTCTAAAAGGGCTCCATAGGTAGGACTTAGGTAGACTTCGGATTGGCAATGGCTCCAAAGATGCTTGTAAGACAAGAACTGAGTGTGAGTGGCACTTTCCATGAAGGGGGAATCAGGACTCAGGAACTTGTGACAGCTGGGGGTGTGAGCATGCCACCCCTGGTGGCCATCCACGGTATCTCTCCTGCCCCTGCTCCCTCCAAAACACCTGAGTCTTTTCACTGTCTCTTAGAGGAAGTGGGGAATCAGATGCTCTGAACTTCCCAGGAATGGCAAGAGACAAAGAGACAATGTACACTCTGACTCAAGGGTGAGACTTTGATTCAGAGAGCCAGTAGAAGGGATTGGCAGGGCCAATGTTTTAAGTATCGGTGCATGGGTAGGTGGCCACTGTTTCTAATCTTTCCTTAGGCCAGGTCCTTGGGAAGCATCTGCTGCCAGGGTACTTCTATTGTAGTCAATGCTCAGCCAATGTACAAAGACATGAAAAGAATACAAACAAAAATGCAAAGTTTTTGCTTATTCTTTTAAATATTATTTATTTGTTTATTTGGTACAGGGACTCACTATGCAACTCAGACTTGTCGTGGTCTTCTTGTCTCAGCCTCCCCAGCCCTGGGATTATAGGAGTGTACCACCATGCCTAGTTTTGCGGCTGGCATCCAGAACTGGCAGAGCTTTTGGTACAGGGGATTGAACCAAGGTCCTTGCACTTCCCAGCAGGTGCTTAAACAGCCAACCTATTGCCCCAGCCCTCTTGCTTATTCTTTTAATGAAAAATAAATCATGAATCAATGATGTTTATAAGATAGTCACACATACTGAGAGCAGTAGGTATCAGATAATGGATGCTAATTCTCTATATTCAGTAATTCTAAGTGGATGTTTCTATCCTAGGTGATAGTTGGAAGTATTACTGTTCGTATATTAAGCTAGTAAGTCTTAGTGTGATAAACTGTGGATCGATACATGAGAAAATATCGTACCAAGTAAAATGCTCTGGATATAGCATCGAATGGAGGGTGAGAAGCAAAGTATAAAAGTGCTCTAAACCATGGAACATACACATACTCACAGGGTAAATATGAAGGAAATACGCTAACCTATAAACAACGTGATGATATCCCTCAAATATGACCTCCTTCCCATTCTGTCTAGACTAAGTTCTCTGCATTACTTTCATTTGCTGCTAGAGAATCGAGTCTTTTTTGCAAAGAAGAAAAAGTAAACAGCTACTTGCCTATAAACGTAGATCTGACATTCAAGAAAGTGTAAGATCTATTAAGGTGAAAAACATTTCCATTTTCTTAAAAGATGAAAGTACAAGAAATCTAATTGTGTAGATCATAATTAGCTTTGAGAGTCTAGGACTGAGCAACTGAACAGATAAAAATCAGCTCAGAATGTCTTTCCTCATCACAAAATATGAAACTTTCATGTGACATTTATAACCAGAGAAAGGAAACTGACCTACACAACCAGCTTGACAGGCGGGTGCCATTTGCCTTCTGTGGGCATGTTTGGCATTTACTAGCTCCTGTTTAGAGAGAGGTTTAGTCCCCTTGATTGCGTGAGACTGAGTTGTTTGATTACTGGTCACCTCCATAAGAGTTAAGACGTTATATGCCTAAATTTGCTTATAATTTGTTTATACATCAAGCTATGTCACAATACACTATGTAGGATGGCTGCCTTCAGCCAAGTTCTACCACTGAGATATGGAAACAAGTTGAAGTCAAATATAGTTCAATTTTTAAAAATGTATTTGGTATAGGGTCTCACTATGTAGCTCAGACACCTAGTGATCCTCTTATTTTCAGCCTCCCCAGTGCTGGGGCTACAGACATGTGCCACCACACCAGGACTCAGTGGTCAGCTCAGCATGCCTGGAGGCAGGGCCAGCACAGCATGCAGTGCCGGGGATCCAACCCCAGTCCCTGTGCTTGCTTAAGCAGGTAAGTAGTCCACTCAGCTATATGGTGGGCCCAAACTTAATTCAATTTCAAGCTTTTCCTACCCATATTTTCCCTAAAATAAGACCAAGACAGAAAATAATCAACTTTGAAAACTAGAGATTAAAAATACCAGTTCCAATCTGCCAATTTTGTCTTATCAGGAGAGAGAAAGACAGAACTGGAGAGAGACAGAGATGAAGAGAGATCCTCATATTAGAAGTGCAATATCTTATCCTTAAAATATACTACAATAAATATATTCTTAGTTTTTCCCACACACCCAAGTTAACAAGCTTGTTTATTTTTCTCAAACCTCTTTAAAAATTTCCTTTTCCAAAAAAGCTACCAGTACAGTTTTCTGAAATTCAATCCAATTAAAGCCTTCTGATTTCTTTTTAGAAGCCAAGCACAAAGGAACCCCTTTGCATTCATTTTAGTTTGTTTCCCAACTTGTGTTTTCTTATAGAAACATGACAAAAACTAGTGTGCAGGAGCCCAGCTTAACTCCTTTCCTTCCCTCCTTTACTGCTTTTTTTGCCTTTTTATTTTCAACTCTTAGGTTGCAACAAAGATTTAGGTCGGAGCAGATGAGCAAAACAGATTGGAGACATTAACCTTGAAGCTGCCTTTGCCTTTGAATTAGCATCAATTCTGGGTGTGAAGGACTGTTGATTCTTGTGCTAGAAGAAGCTGTGATTTCCTAAAAATTAGAGTGAAATTATAAGTATCTGAAACCTGTAGGGGGGCTGTTAATTACATTTCTGGGACAAATATTTCATGGAGCAAAATAGACACATACAGTAATATTGATTTGGAGCACACACTGGCACACCAGTGTATTTTTGCTTAATGTCTGTTTTATTTCTTTAAAGAATAGAGCTTAGGTGTTAATTAGGGTGGACTACAGAGATAACTCATCAATTCCCAGATAGAGGCCCAGCAGATTTCCTGCCAGAGGAAAAAAAGAATTTGTTTTATCTTCTTTTAAGACTGCTGTGGTTTGGGTATGGTTTGAGTGATTAAAGACATGGTCCTTAGGGTGGAAGTACTGAATGGTGATGTAGCCTATGTGAGGTCATTAGGGACCCTGTGCTCCCAAAGGACCGAGACTGTGCTCAAGAAAGTGTTGTTCTGAAAGGACCACGCTCTAGCACTGCCGGGTCACAGATGGGATGCTTCTTCCTTGCCAAGTTCCTTCCACTGTGCTTCCCTTTCCAGGGTCTGCTCTATAATATTTGGATTTAGAGCCTCCAAAGCCATGGGATGCACAAACTTCTTTACTTTGCAAAGTCATCCTGTATTGGCCATTTTGTCACAGTAATAAACAGTTGACTGTTATGAAAAACATACATTCTGCCAGTCTTTATCAATAATTGTATGATCACCCCAAATTGTATGATTTGATCCACACCGGTCCTTCTAGTCTCATTATCCTCTGCATTTCCTCTGGTTTTCTGTACTATCTTTTGTTTCCTTGGAGGCGTCTGTGCTTTCCTGAGCCTTTTAGACATGTTATGTTAACCTGGCATGTTCTCTTCCCCAACCCACCCACTCCGTTCCCCTACTCCCCATACTACTTTAAAGCTTTTTCAGACTTCCTAATCTCAGTCAGGGCTCAATGTCAAAACAAGGTATTAGCATTTATCCCAGCTGTAATTCTATGATTATTGGTATGATTATCTCATAGATTTGACTGTATTAGAATCTATACACTTCATAATACAGATAAAATAAAAATATCTTAGATTTAAATTCGGCTTGCAGTATCTGAACAGATATTTGGATTCCATTTCTGTTTAACTGCAACACTCATGAAGAGATGAGTCGGGGGGCTCTCAGGGTGGAATTATTGCATCATTTGTTTTTACAGGATCATATTTAATTGCTACATAGAGATGATGATTCATTCAGGAAGGTATGTAGAGCAATTACAAATGAAAGAAGGGCTGGTTGTGGTGGTACATACCTATAATCCCAGCTTGGGAAGCTGAGGCAGGAAGACTGCTGAAAGTTTGAGGCCAACCTGGGCTACAAAGTGAGCTCAAGGTGAGCCTGAATTGCACCATGAGACCCTGTCTCACAAAGACAAAAAAAAAAGAGAGAGAAAAAAGAGGATTATCTCCCTTTAATGGGTAGTGTTTCAGTTGTGTATTATTTTCCTCTTGGAAGTATTCTGATTATTGATTTTCTTCTCAAAAAATTCATTTACAACAAAATTACGGATCATCTTTACTGCATTACTGGATCACTGGAAGGAATCTTAGAGGCTTTTCAAACAACGTTCTATTCAGTAGGAGAGGTCAAAATACATCTAAGGAGGTTAAGAAAATTAGCCAAATCACAAAGGTGCTGCCCAGATTTCCTGAGGAATTGAGCTTCATTTACCTTGAATTCTTTGACCAGAGGACCTATGTGTATGAGAGCTCTACTTAATATTTATTTCACCATATTGATGAGCAATGCAAGAGAATCTAACTCTCTCAGAGTTCCAGGCATGGTAGTAACTGATAATGATGTCTACTTGGGTCAGTATTGTCCTGTGCTTGCTCTTCTACTTACACCCCCACAAAGGCCAGGAGCCATGGGAAGCAGTGAAGAGATCAAACAAGGAAATGAATTATTTTCAATCAACTCATGTGCCATGTCTGGCCACCAGCTTGATATATACGCATTAACCCTTGTCAAGGGTCGAATGTTGATGTTCTCCTCAAATTTGTATGCTGAAGCGTCAACTTTCAAGGTGTTGATCTTTGGGAGGAAATGTTTGGATGATGTCGTGAAGGCAGGGGCTCCATGATGAAGCCAATGCTGTCATAAAATGAGGAAGAGACAGAAGAGTTTCCTTTTTATACCATCTGTGGCCAGGGAAAGAAGGAGGATCCCCACCAGAGCTGGGTCATACTGAGACCTTAATCTTATAATATTTCTCAGATTTCATAAGTTGGAGAAAAAAATGCCTGCTACTTAAGCCACACAGTCTCTGATGTTTTGTGATAGCAGTTGGAGCTGACTAAAACAATATGTTTACAAAAAAACACTTTGGAAATTATTCCAGCATTGAGCATAATTAACAAATTGCCATGATCAATCTCCACTGCAGGAACTCAAGTGAACAGCATGGAGGGGGCAGCTCCTCTGATCGCCATCTCGGTTGGCAATGAACTGCACCAGAAGGCCCAGAGAATGGCAACTCTGCTCACTGCAGCCACTTGGGAAGGCCCAGAGCTCAGAGTGAATGCCAGCCACACAGAAGGGCCCACAGGGTGGACAGGCGGGCCTGCTGACAGGAAAAGTCCAAGACAACAGTGATAACACAAGCCAAGAGGTGCTTAGTTAGGCACTGTGGGTGGGGACAAAGACATCTGAACTAAAAGCCAGAGAGTGTGGTCATCTTATTTTTTTCTCTCTTTTTGCTTTGTTTTGTCTTTCTTTTTCTTTTGTTTTTCCTTTCCTCTTGTTTATTTGGCTGGGGAGAACTGCAGTGAAAGAAAACTAATCCCGTCCCCTAAATCCAGAAACCAAGTTCACACAATGCCTTGCTTACACTCTCCTTCTTTTGCTTTTGTCCTCTCCCCTACTTTGCCAAACTTTGGAGGATCATCCTCTGTCCTCTAGCCTTGCTTCTACTTTTTCTCTAGTTATCTCTGTTTCATTCACGCTTCTTAAATCGTTCACCACAGGATTAAACCACTTTCTTTATCCAGGGTAAATGCTTTGAAAACAAGCTCCCAACTTACAATTGGAGCTGATATATGATTGCAGATTTTGTTCCCATAGTTTAAACTAAACAAAATTAATAGCAACCACACATTGTCTGTTTCTCAACTGTGCTTGATACTATTGTTATTGCTAATTAAACTACTTTGTTACTATAATTTTTTTTTTCACCTTCTTCATAATATCTAGTACCCCAAGTCATTCCGGTAAGCCATCTGTTATTTGTTGGGTTAGTAACATTTAGGAATAGTGAATTACAGAGTGGTGGATCACCCTTTAGCTGTTTACAAAAGCAGCCTGAGCAAGATGGGTCACATCCGCGAGGGAATCCTAGTTTAAGGTTAGGATCTGGAGGGTGGTCCATCGTGTAGCTAAAGTTTCGCAGCCCCATTCAGCACAATAATACTGTCCTGGACTATTACAATAGTTTTTTCCGGGATTAGATGCAGGGCACATATAAATAGGAGCCTGGTTACAGCAAGGCTGGTGAGTGGTAAGGTCACGAGGGGATAATTGAAAGGATGGCCCCCTACCCCCGTCCAGGTTTTTATGACCTTTTTATCACCCCATCTAGATATTGTCCATTTCCATGGTTGGTGGGGAGAGACACTTATTCCGAGGGATAGGAGTGTCCCCAACCAGAGCCAAATGACGAACCCGTAGTTTAAGGGGGTTGCCGGTCTTTTCCAATGTCCAATGAGATTTAGATGGTGGAGAGGCAGGCTTGATGTGTGAGGCGTGGATCCAGGAGGCGATGCCATCAACTTTGACCGCGGTGGGGGTGATCAAGAGTACCTGGTATGGTCCTTTCCAGCGAGGCTCAAGGGTCTGTACCTGGTGACGACGACGTAGACGAAGTCTCCCACTTGGTATTTGTGTGGGGTAGGTTCGTCCCCCGGTTGGTAGGAGGAGAGTTGTAGCCACAGGAGCCTCTGAACTTTGTCTAGGGCTAGTAACCCCGAGAGACGGCTGTTGGAGCCACTCGTCGCGAGGGCGATCCCGGATGAGCCCCCAAATGTTAGGTCCGAAAAGCCCACCGCGTGAAGAAAGGTTCCAAGAGACGTCCTCTCATGCAAAACAAGGGGATTTTATTTTCCATGCATGTAAGGGGCTCACCGAACTCGCAGGATCCGAGAGCCTATAATTATTTTTTATTATTAAAAGCGAATGCAAAATAGTAAAAATAAATTACAAATGCTACAGTAATTTAGTGAATAAGAATTCAGCAATGGTTGCTGTATTGCACAATGTCTTCAAATTAGTTGTTCAGATTATCAGCTATAAGCATGCAAAATTGGGGAACAAAAGGAGAAAACCCACAAGAAATTAAAAAGAAGAGAAAAATTTAGGCGTCTACTAATGCCCTCTACAGACCAGCAGATGTCAGCAGTACATATAACCAAGCCATCCTGTATGCATACATAAATATATCTTTCTCTCTCTTCCTTTCCTCTCCTATGCTTTTCTTCATTCAGATTTTCCTTCCTTTTGAATCGATTCTTTCCTTTTCACAGTATCTACTGTACCTTTCATATTGTATTTATTTTTTCAAGTCTTTACAGTGGCAAGACAATGCGATGTTTGCATATGTGGATCCAATTTATATCACTTAGACTATGTTTCTAGATGCATCCATTTACTTTAAAAGCCTCAAATTTGTCTTTTAATAGCTCAGTAATACTACACTGTGTAAAAATTCCACACCTACTTTTACCCATTCCTCACTTTATGGGGTTATACTACTTTGGCTAGGATGTTATATCTGTTGTAGTCAGTTATTCTTTTTTCCATAACAATACCAGAAAGCTGTGGGATAATAACCTCATCCCATCCCAGCACCAAGGACAGGTATTGAGCTAGATAGATGCCAACATATCACTTTTAGTTAACTGGTAATTAAGGATCTTGGAACAGAAACCTGCTACATATGGCAGATAGTGCTGTAGAACAGACTATTCCTAGAGAGGGCTTGAGAGTAGTGATGCAGCTACCTATTACGAATCTTAGAAGGACCAACACAGAAAACAAAATAATAAAAGGAAATAGAAAACGACAAGATACAGAGGCAAAATGCAATCTCAGACCTCCAGCCCAAGCAGCACAAGAGACAACAAGTTACAAGAAACAGAAGACACACAACTGTAATTTCTGAAATAATAGCAACCATAGTAAAGAACAAGCTCATGAGGCTATAGAGGAAATCAGATCAGAAATAATTTCTCAGGCTAAAGAAAAATGGAAATGTTGAAATTGACAAAGGAATTGCTCAACAAATCTACAGGAGATATAGATAGAAAAGACGATGATAGGAAAATGATGGAAATTGTGAACAAGTAATGTAGGAAAGACATAGAATGCATAAAATCGGTTCAAATAGATGTACAGGAAATTATAAATGTGATGGAAAAGGTGGAAGAACTACTTAAATAAAACCAAAGACAGACTTTCAGACCTCAAAGACAGGATCGAAGCTATTGATCATGAAAGGAATGATCTCTTGAAAATAGCAAAAGATCAGAAAATAACAATTCAACAGCTTCAAAATGATGCAAAGAAAAAGAACATGGGACTAATTAGTGTCAATAAAAAATGAGGAGGCAACTCAAATAATATAAAAAAACTATTTTCTGAATAGAACAAAACTTGTCAAGTTTGTGAAAAGAACCTTTCGTACAGTTTAGTGAGACATATAGAACTTCACTTAACATAATCAAAATAAACCTATACCCAAACATTAATCAAAATCCCAGAAATTCAGCACAAGAACAGAATATTAGAGAAATGTAACACATCGCCTACAAAGGGAAGCCCATCAGAATCTAGGCAGACTTCTCAGCACAAACCCTCAAGTGAAGAAGAGCTTGAAGTGAAGTGTCTCAAGTTCCCTACCTCCCCAAAACTCCACAACTTCCAACCTAGATGAATGTAACATGCGAAACTTATCTTTCAAAATTAATAGAGAAATAAGATACTTCTATGACAAAGAAGAACTGAAGAAATTCAAGATCACAAAGCCATTCCTACAAAGAGTATCAAATGATATTCTAGACAGAGATAAAAATGACCACAATTCCAAGACGAACAGCAGAAAGAAACAACCAAGCAGGGCATGCAAACAAACAGAGGAAAAAAGCAGAGGATCAACAGCAAGGAAATAACATGACAAACAAAAGCTAATACATATCAGTTATAGCCATCAATGTGAATGGCCTCTATTCACCAATCAAATAAAACAAACTGGCAGAATGGATAAAAACACAAAATCCAACTATATGTGTATACAAGAGATACGTTTAACACAAAAAGAATCTTATAGACTGGGAGTCAACAGATGGAAAATAGTATTGCATGCAACAGAAACCTAAAACAAAGCAGTGGTTGCTATTTTGTTTGCAGACCATGTGAACTTCAAACCAAGAATGATCAGAAGATAAAGAAGCACGCCTGTGCACAAACTGACTTACTAGGCATTTATAGAGTATTTCCTCCAAAACATCAGAATACACATTCTTCTTGGCTGCTCACAGGATGTTCTCTAAGACAGATCATGTGCTAGCCCATAGAACATGCTTAAGTAAGTGCAAAAGAATTCAAATAATGTCATGTACATTATCTGATCATAGTGAAATGAAGCTAGAAATTATTGACAAAGAAACTGCAAAATTTCCATAAACACATGGAAATTAAATAACACCCTCCTAAGCAAGCAATAGGTCACAGATGAAATTAAAGAAGAAATTAGACAGTATCTATAATAAAATAAAAATGCTAATGCAACATACTGGAACCTGTGGGACACAATGAAAGCAGTCTTCAGAGAAAAATGTATAGCAGTGAATTCTCATATGAGGAAAACAGAAGGAGCACAAATAAATAACCTAATGTGGCACATCAAGCTTCTAAAAAAGGAAGAGCAAGTCAAGCCCAAAGCCCACACAAGATTAGGGCATAGATTAATACAGTTAATACCAAGAAAATAATACAAAGTTTAATGAATTGAAAAGTTGGTTATTTGAAAAAAAAAATTGGCCAGCGATATAGCTCAGGTTCATAATTGCTGGGAGGGCAAGTGCCATGTCTTGATCTTGATCCCTAGTACCAGAAATAAATAAATAAATAAATAAATAAACAAACAAACAAAATTGATTAACCTCTAGTCAACCTTTTCAACAAAAGGAAAGGAAAAAAACCTCAAATTCATGAAAGAAGGGATAAAAAAGGATCAAATCACTACAGATACTGTGGAAAGTCAGAAGACCATCAACACCTACTTCAAAAATGTTTACTCACATGGAATAAAAACACAGAAGATTGAAACTGTCTCATTGCTATATTTTAATCAATAAAACTTTGAAAAGAAAAAAAAACACAGAAGAAATGGGCAGATTCATAGAAACATATGAATTACCAAGGCTGAGTCAAGAAGATATACAAATTGTGAATAACCCCGTATCAGTTAATAAAATTGAAAACAGAATTGAAAACTTAACAACAAAGAAAAGCCCAGGTCCCGATGAACTCACGGTTGAATTCTACAAGAAATTTAGAGAAGATCTAATGGTAATACTCTTCAAATCTTTGATGAAATTGAAAAGGAAGCAATTCTCCGTAACTCATTCCTGGATGCTAATATTACCGTGATAGGAAAACCGGAGAAAAACCCAACAAAAATGAGACCTGCAGGCCCATCACCCTAATGGACATAGATACAAAATTCTTCAATAAAGTATTGGCAAGCAGAATGTAACAAATCACCCAGAAGATTATGCACCACAACCAAGTGGGATTCATCCCAGGAATGCAAGGATGGTTCATCGTATGCAAATCAATACACATAGTATATCATATTAACAGAGCCAAAGATAAAGATCACATCATCTTCTCAATAGATACAAAAAAAAACCCCTTCCTTTTGACAAAGTCCAACACTCATTCATGATAAAAGAAAATTAGAATAGGTGATTTTTACTTCAACCTGATAAAAACTGTGTATTACAAACCAATAGCCACTAAACAGACAAAAACTAAAAGTATTTACTCTAAAATCAGGAACAAGGCAAGATTGTCCGCTATTCAAAGTAGTTCTGAAAAATCTATCCAGAACAATAGAAAAGAGAGAGAAATGAAATGAATAGGAATAGAAAGGGAAGAAGTTAAATTATTATTTGATGAAGACATGATACTATACATAGATGACCCCAAAAACTCAACCTAAAACTTTACAGAATTAAAAATCAAATTATGTCGCATAGCTGGGTACAAAGTCAATACTCAAAAGTCAATAATATTCCTACCAAAAAAAAAAAAAACTCACTGAGAAAAAAATTAGGGAAGCCATACCTTTTACAATAGCATAGATAACAAACACTTAGAATTCAATCTAATGCAACAAATAATACTTTTTTAACAGACAATACAATAGTAACCAGGAAATTAAAAAGCATCTCAATAGATAATCAGTTGTTAATAAAAAATATTCAAAATTAAATATTGCTTCTATTTCCTTTGTAAATCTTTAGCACAAGGCACTTAAAGTATCTGATTCACTATAATTCTGGCTTGTGTCTATTTTTCTGTTGGCATTAAAAACAATTTCCAATAAATATTTTTCACATTCAGTGAAAATCTGACTTTGGCCAACTAGAAAATGTTACAACGCAGAATGAAGTGACCATGCATCCCTGACTACCTGGGAAATCTCTCTTTTTTTGTTCTTATTACTTTTTGGAAATACAAATATCCTTAACACTTTTTAAAGGGCTTTTGAAGAGGGGAATCTCTGCATTGGTAGTTAGAAGATTTATCCTGATATGTAAAACCTGTTCTGGAATGAAGATCTGGGAAATGCATGCAAAGGTTTAATCACATACATTTTCTGAGATTAAGGTAGCCACATAATCAGCAAACAGTGTTACTTTTTCCTTCCGGACACCCATTTAGATTACATTCCCATCCTACCTTGGTGCTGGGATTCTAAACAATGGAATATACAGAGATATGGAGCATTCTGGCCCAGGCAACTCTTGCATAAAACTTTCCATACTTCTTCATTTTCTTGGAAAATATGAAAACTGATTGTATACTTTGCCTTAAT